AACTGACAGCCACATGCTTTACCTGTCGTTTTTGTTAATACTAAATTCCGATGGCTATTTCTTAATTACCAGGGGTGCATTATGACCGTTAATCAGCAGAGCGGTGATAGCAGTTATAACTGTAGTGATGGTGACATTGTTTAAGCCTGTAAACATTGTTAATGTTATGATGATTATGACGAAGTTTGAGATACAAACTTAAACAACATGTCCGAAACTGGTGCAGTTATTCTAAAACGTGATTCAAGAAAACGACATTTGGTTTTAAGAACAGCGTAGAAATCCAGGTATATGCATATGTTGGAGTCAAATTCCACTGTACATTGTCGGACAATTGCTGAGTACTTATTAAGAAGGAATTGTATGATAAACTAATAACAAAATGATCGATGGACACAGTGTTGGCAGTTTTTTTTTGTAATGATATACATGTATGTACCGGAAGGAAGTTGCAATCTTGTTGCGAAAAAGTGACCAGAAATGTCTGTGACGTATTGCATCTGGTACGATGCTGCTTCCTCACGCATTATTCGGGTTCTCATGTCAACAGACGGCAAGAATATCAAAACGATATCGAAAAAGTTATAAAATATGTGTCTGGTGTAATAGATAGCTAAATAAATATTAATCGCAAGGTTTGACAAGGATTTCCAATGTTCTCTGCAACTGACGATGTAATATTCAAAATCACTGATGCGCATGTTTGCTGCCACCTATACAATGACAGAGTAAGTCTACAGTTCAGAACACAGATTAAAATAATGATTCACTCTTAGCAACTTTTCGGCTTATCCATGTTGATTTTCCATATTTAATCTTAAAGAAGCTCACTTTGAAGTATCTCGATTTTCCTAAGTTAAAAAAGAATAGTTGCCGCCTCGTCAAAAGACTCCATGTCACTGAAACGTTGCAGATAGTCCTCGAAATAATAACCCTTGTGAGACGACGCGTCAACAAGACAGAACAATGTGACAAATGCGTATGTGCAAGTGCATTAACACGTCACGGAAAATGATTAGGAGCTAAGCTTGGAATCATATGTTTCAATTGAACAGAGCAAGGTATTATTCGGTGTAGGGCCGCTGGGACAAATTTTTAGCCTACATAATAATGCTCGACGATTCGCAACAATGCAATGGCAGAAAACACATTCCGGTAGACGCTTCTAAATGCATTATTGAACATGTTTCATATTATCGGATAAGTTTTCGCTTTAAAGCGCTGCGGGTGAAGCACTTTCAGATATGTCCATCACTCTAGGTTATACGCCTGTGTGATAGAAATAACCATTTTGGAAACAGGTTCATATACAGCAAGCAGCATTATAGAGCTGTAAGGGTTTTGCACTCGGTATCCAGATCCTATCTGCAACTTTGGTATATTTCAAATCGAAGGCTCAACCGATTGCCTTTACACATAACATAATAATAATTAGACTGAAACTTGTCTTTTGAAGATTTAACAGTCGTTACATCTAATATACCGTAATGCTGCCGTGATATCCATTTCAGTTCTATCAAATGCACAGGTTCGATAAATCGGTAACAGTTTTCAAATGGTTGCGCAAACACAGCCTCCGTTAAGTCTAAACTGTTTAACGGTACTTTACCCTGGTTTGCGAGAGTTCAACTGCTGTCAATAGTGCAACTTGTGTCTGACCTCTAAACAATGTCGTAGCCAAGTCATTTACAATATATTGTCTAAACCTGTATAACTGGTTATTTAATAAAACTAAACGTTTGCTAATGACGAATGCATAAAGAGAAAATATACAAAATGTACCTATGAGCTTGTTTGAGATACAGTTGGAAAACTTTTACATGACCTAAGAGTCATACATTAACACTATGTTTAAACCGTTGATATTACCTTTTTGGCAATTTGAAGTGTTACGGGTGTCTGATTAACAACATTATCGGTTTAAAACATGTAGAACGTTTGTATCTTTTTAAACAACAACAGGTAAACTTTAGTGTTACCAGTCACCCGGCGTTCGATGAAGGTTTTGTATAACTGACGAAGTTATAGTAATACATGTCACCTGTTCAACGAAAATGTTTTGTAGTTTATTTATAGAACGTAGTGATCCTCAACTTTAGAGAAAGATTTTTTTCTTTTCATTATTATTATTTGTTTACAAAATATGAACTTAAACCAAATGAATATTTCATATCAACATGAATTTACTTCAATACCACATATCAAAGGTCAAACATGTGATATTGCGTTTACTTACTCAAGTTCTCGCCATTGATACACATAATTCAATCGTTATGTTCTTCCTAAAACCACTGTATGTGAGGTGACATGATACACCTTTTATCAAATAACTCTACCTAACCTTCAATCTCATAACCACAAATTCAAAGCATGGAAAATTAAAATTTGAATACTAAACGTGAAAATTACACTTCATGCAGATCAAGTTTTATAGAGTACATATATCAATACCTAATCATTTCAGATGGTCCTTCAACTGTGCGTTTGACCCCGTCAACTACATCATACTTTCCTATAGAGGGACAGACTATCCCCACCATCACGTGTTCGTCTGACTGTAACCCAGTCTGTACCTACAGCTGGACAAAGGATGGACAGCCCCACCCAGCAGGGTCAGATCTCCAGCTCACCAACATACAACGTGGTCAGACGGGAGTGTCCATGTGTACGGCCAGTAACACATACGGGAGTCGGACATCTAGTGACGTCGGTGTTACTGTAAAGTGTATGTATTCATAACAGAGAATTTACTGTCTTGTGATAACTCTGTGTGTAATGAAAATAAAAAAGAAAAGAAAAAATATGAAAGAACGTGTCATCAATCGTATTAGCATAGGAATAAAATAGTGTGAATTTGTTATTGTTTAGAGAAATACAAAACATGATTTATCTAATTACTTGTTTATTAATTTACAATAAACCATATATATTTTTTATATAACTAGTCTCCTCATAAATCTTTGCAATGTGGTGTTACACTGACTTGACAAGTAAGTGTATCAAATGACTGCACATGATTTACACTAGAATTTCTTTCAGAGGAATATAATCGTATTACCTAAACCAGTGGATAGCCGTATTACGACGCTGTTTACCAGAAAGCTACATGTGTAACATATTCATTTTAAACTCAAAATAAGTCAATTTTGCAGGAAAATGTGGATTTGATATTGTACAAGAAAAATGCTCGCAAATGTAAAAGCATTAGAGTGAAAAGCAAAGCAATTATCTTTATTAACTGATAGATTTTATTTTTTGATTACATTGAGTTTTTGTTTCAAACAAGATGGTTTGAAATCGTAACGGTTAATTGTTCAAGGTGAAAGTACTCCCCCCCGGTAACTCACATTTAGGTGGAAAATTAATTTTTCACTGGATCCATGTATTTTTACCCTTTGAACAAAAATAACGCTTCTCTTTGAAAATCCGCAACAATCATTTGAGGTTACATGAAATACATCGCACTGGTCACAAACGATTATAATCTAAAGCCAAATATAATTTTTCTTTTTTAAAATAAGTCTTAATTGTGTAGTAGAAATACACTTAAGATATATACAAATATTGAGATAACACAGGACAAAATCAGGTGATGGCTAATTATAAGTTCATGACTGACAATGTTGCCGATACAACAATATAGTATTGATTCTCATACGTAACTGCACAGTGTTTGTATTGAATATGCATTTTAATGTGCAATAACTAAGTTTTCTGGGAATGCACCTGCTATGTATGATACTCCTGCGGTCATGGATACTATTTTGACATTTAAAATACCACACAAAACGAAACTTCTAGTCAGTTTGTAATGTGTATGTGTTAATCTTGTAGACGGTCCTGGAATGTCTACTTCAATTTCACCACCGGACACTACTTACACCAGGACTGAGGGGGACACGTTACCGAACATCACCTGTATAGCTGACTGTAAACCTGGCTGTACCTTTGTCTGGACCAAACCTGACAACACACGCTTGACTGCCTCCGCTGTGTTGTCACTGGGACAACTTGACAGGTCACAACACGGGACTTACAGATGTACTGCTAGAAATATTGCCGGGGAGTCAACTACAAGTGTTGTCGTTACAGTACAGTGTATGTAAGCTTAAACTAAATGTTCAACCATCTTAATCAATGTCCGTTTAGAAAAGAGTTGAAACATACTAATTAACTAATGTGTTTGAATCTTAAAATCATTTAAAAAAAAGAAGTGTTTGAGGTGGGTTTTTTTAAATGTATCTATAAGTTCAACCTCTCCAAAAATAAATGACGGAATCGTCCGTAGACGGTAGTATGCTTTACAATGTCTATGCTTTACATCACACACAGACTTGTACACAATGTACCGGTTATTAAAATTGAAATGATTGCAGAGACACTCGCGAATAATCAGTGTATTTGAAAAAAGAGTAATCGGTTGCATTGGTTTTCTTTAAAAGGATTGTGTGTAATTGGTAGCGATACAAGTCCTCTACTAATTTTATTAAGTATTCAACAGCGTACATGTACATAGAAGATCCCGCACGAGTGTTCATGTTATATTGAATTCATTAAACGAGTTTAATCATGTGATATGACACCAGCCTTTAGGCAAATTATTGATCAAGTTCAATGATTAAAATATGACGTACACACGAATGAAAGATTATATTTATTTAATGAAAACACAATTATCAAAAAAAAAATTAAAAAAAATTGAAGAGACCTGTTTTGCATTCTCAGGGTTACGACTGATTGCACTAGTCCTTCGCCCTTCCAAAAAAATGGATAATTAAAACGTTTTTATTGAAGATGTTCCTGGTACTGTTACCCTGTCCCCACCTGACACCACTTACACCAGGACTGAGGGGGACACGTTACCGGACATCACCTGTACTGCTGACTGTAGACCTGATTGTACCTTTGTCTGGACAAAACCTGACAACACCAACTTTACTGTCTCACCTGTGTTGTCACTGGGACAACTAGGCAGGTCAGAACACGGGCCGTACAGCTGCACGGCTAGGAATGTTGTTGGAACATCAAAGACAACAACAAATGTTATCGTACAGTGTAAGTATGCTTGACGT